TCTGTCTTTTGGGGATGATTTGTCTAGTGTGTCTATTATCTATTTGTCTGTCTTTTGTCTATGTCTATCTATTGTCTGTCTTTTGTCTATCTATCTATTTGTCTGTCTTTTGTCTATCTATTTTTGTCTTTGTCTATATATATGTCTGTTTTTGTCTATCTATCTATTTGTGTCTGTCTTTGTGTCTTATCTATCTATTTGTCTGTCTTTGTCTATCTATGCTATTTGTCTGTCTTTTGTCTATTTGTCTGTCTATCATCTTATTTGTCTGTCTTTGTCTGTCTTGTCTATTTGTCTGTCGCTTTTGTCTATATCTATTTGTCTGTCTTTTGTCTATCTATCATCTATTTGTCTGTCTTTTTGGTCTATCTATCTATATCTATCTATTTGTCTATTTGTCTCTTTTGTCTATCTATCTATTTGTTCTGCTTTTGTCTATCTATCTATTTGTCTGTCTTTTGTCTATCTATCTATTTGTCTGTCTTTTGTCTATCTATCTATTTGTCCGTCTTTTGTCTATCTATCTATTTGTCTGTCTTTTGTCTATCTATCTATTTGTCTTTTGTCTGTCTTCTTTTGTCTATCCATCTATTTGTCTGTCTTTGTCTATATCTATTGTCTGTCTTTTGTCTATCTATCTATTTGTCTGTCTTTTTGTCTCATTTTTCTTTGTCCTGTTTTGTCATCTATTTGTCTGTCTTTTGTCTATCTATCTATTTGTCTGTCTTTTGTCTATCTATCTATTTGTCTGTCTTTTGTCTAATCTATCTATTTGTCTGTCTTTTGTCTATCCATCTATTTGTCTGTCTTTTGTCTATCCATCTATTTGTCTGTCTTTTGTCTATCTATCTATTTGTCTGTCTTTTGTCTATCTATTTGTCTGTCTTTTGTCTTTTATCTATTTGTCTATTTGTCATTTGTCTAATCTATCTATTTGTCTGTCTTTTGTCTAATTTTCTTCTATTTGTCTGTCTTTGTCTATCTATCTATTTGTCTGTCTTTTGTCTATCTATCTATTTGTCCTGTCTTTTGTCTATCATTATTTGTCTGTCTTTTGTCTATCTATCTATTGTCTTTTGTCTATTTGTCTGTCTTTTGTCTATCTATCTATTTGTCTGTCTTTGTCTATCTATCTATTTTTGTCTGTCTTTTGTCTATCTATCTATTTGTCTGTCTTTTGTCTATCTATCTATTTGTCTATTTGGTGTCTATCTATCTATTTGTTGTCTTTTGTCTATCTATCTATTTGCTGTCTTTTTGTCTATCTATCTATTTGTCTGTCTTTTTGTCTATCTATCTATTTGTTGTCTGTCTTGTCTGTCTTTGTCTATCCATCTATTTGTCTGTTTTGTCTATCTATCTATTTGTCTTGTCTTTTTGTCTATCTATCTTTGTCTGTCTTTTGTCTATCTATTTGTCTGTCTTTTGTCTATCTATCTATTTGTCTGTCTTTTTGTCTATCTCTAATTTGTCTGTCTTTTGTCTATCTATCTATTTGTCTGTCTTTTGTCTATTTGTCTGTCTTTTGTCTATGTCTATTTGTCCTGTCTTTTGTCTATCTATCTATTTGTTGTCTTTTGTCTATCTATCTATTTGTATTTGTCTATCTTATTGTCTGTCTTTTGTCTATCTATCTATTTTCTGTCTTTTGTCTATTCTATCTATTTGTCTGTCTTTTGTCTATCTATCTATTTGTCTGTTTTTTGTCTATCTATCTATTTGTCTGTCTTTTGTCTATCTATTTGTCTGTCTTTTGTCTATCTATCTATTTGTCTGTCTTTTGTCTATCTATCTATTTGTCTGTCTTTTGTCTCTATCTAATTCTATTTGTCTGTCTTTGTGTCTATCTATCTATTTGTCTGTCTTTGTCTATCTATTTGTCTGTCTTTTGTTATCTATTTGTCTGTCTTTTGTCTATCTGTCTTTTGTCTATCTATTTGTCTGTCTTTTGTCTATCTATCTATTTGTCTGTCTTTTGTCCTGAGTCTATTTGTCTGTCTGTCTAATCTATCTTTTGTCTATCTATTTGTCTGTCTTTTGTCTATCTATCTATTTGTCTTCTTTTGTCTATCTATCTATTGTCTATCTATCTTGTCTGTCTTTTGTCTATCTATCTATTTGTCTGTCTTTTGTCTATCTATCTATTTGTCTGTCTTTTGTCTATCTATCTATTTGTCTGTCTTTTGTCTATCTATCTATTTGTCTGTCTTTTGTCTATATCTATTTGTCTGTCTTTGTCTATCTATCTATTTGTCTGTCTTTTGTCTATTTGTCTGTCTTTTGTCTATCCATCTATTTGTCTGTCTGTCTATCTATCTTTGTCTGTCTTTTTTGGATATTCTTATCTTTTGTGTGTTTGTTCAATCTATCTGTCTGTCTTTTGTCTATCTATATATTTGTCTGTCTTTTGTCTAATCTATCTATTTGTCTGTCTTTTGTCTATCTATCTATTTGTCTATCTGTCTGTCTTTTGGTCTATTTGTCTGTCCTTTTGTCTATC